GAAGGCAGCAAGCACCAAGCCAAGTGACAAGCAGCAACCTTCTTTTTGTCCCTTATACCACACTCCAGATCCAGCCACCTCAGAAAAAGCCCAACTTATGACAGCATGAGGCTTTGGGGTGACATCTATATACAAGCCATAACAGTTCCCTTGTGCACATATAGTTTCTATGTATTTCGTATTTGTAGCTAAGGTTTTTGGACTTAAAAAGTTAGCATTTATGAGCACAGAGTATAAAGTATTATCCTGCAATACAGGAGTTTCCTGCAGTGACTGCAAAATCTTTAAAACTCAGTTATCCATGCTCAGATGCAGCCTGGAGTTCTTAGGTTGAGGCTGGAGAGTTCAAGTCTGATTGTAAGGTGAAGATGAACAGCAGGTGGCAGATCTCATGCAAACTTTTTCACATTCATTCAGTGATCCATCAACTGTTTCTCAACTGCCTATGATGTACCAGGTACTGTTCCAGAGTCTGGATAGAAAAAGGACCACAAGAGAAACATCCTCACTTTTATAGTTTATTAGTCTAGTGTGGAAAAGACCACGAACACTAAACAAATACATAAAAGGAATTTATGTATTTATTTATTTTTCTTGCAGTGCTGGGGACCAAATGCAGGATCTCACTTACACTAGGCAAGCACTCTATCACTGAGCTCCATCTCCAGCCCAAGAATTCTTTTTTTGTTTTGTTTTTGGTACTGGAGATCCAACTCGGGTCCTTGTTACAGATGGCGGCACCACTGAGCTAAATCCCCGGCCCAAGAATTCTTTTTTTTGAGAGAGAGAGTCTCACTGTCTGATCCAGGTTGGCCTCAAACTCTGATTCTCCTGCCTCAGCCACCCGAGTGTTGTGATTTCTGGCATGTGCCATACCCAGCTCAGCCCAAGAATTTTAGATTACTTTAAATGCTCCAAAGATAAGAAAACAGAACAATATGAGAAATATAACCAAAGACAGAGGCCAAGAGGGGAAAGAAAATCCATCCGCATGAAGATCTGAAGAAAAGAATTCCAAGGAGGGGGAACCACAGGTACAAAGATCCCATAGCAGGGGAATATGTGAGTGTTACAAGCAAAGATCCTTAACAAGTGAAGACAAGCAAGAGGAGGTAAGGGCAGACAGATGGGCAAGGGGCCAGAATGCCAGGGACTTGGAAGGAATAGGTGCCATATTTGGTCTTAGTTTGAGTAGAAAATTATCCAAAATGACTCTTACCATGTATGACTTTGTTTCTAAGAGTCGGTACAATCTTTGCTCAATGAAAGCATCTTTTTTTTGAGAGTCTTGCTATGTAGCCCAGGCTGACCTCAAACTTGCAGTGATCCTCCTGCCTCAGCCTCCCAAACAAGAGCATCTTTTTAAAAAGCATAATCCAGACTGCTCCTCTGGCTACACTTATCCCCCACACGCCCAACCATTCATAAAGAGTTTGTTTCAAGCAATTTTTATTTTCTAAAATTATTTCAAACTATTTTATGGATATTTCCCATAGGCCAAGCCTGAAGATGGTCCTTCACCTAATCCCTACTCCCTTTCTCCTCCATAGTTTGTAGATCCTGGATGGCACAGCCTCAGGAGACAGTTACATTATGGATCCTTGTTCCTTTTCTGCGCATGGCCGATCACGAGACAATCACGTTCAGCCTAGACCCCATGGACCCCGTGGCACTAGTTACCCGGCCTTCTTACACTATAAATAAAGAGCTCACTGGACATTAGGTGGCCATTAGCTCATCAGGCTATGGTCCCACCTGGTCCCAGCTATAAAGCTTAATCTTGGTATGTATCTTTGTTTCTTGTTATTCTTCAACTTTCTTCATCTTCCACCGCTCTCCTCGGCTTCGAACCCTACACTGTGCGGGTCTGAGCAGATATTTTACAAAAAAAAGCAAACAAAAAGGAATTATTGGGCCGGGGATTTAGCTCAGGGGTGCCATGCCCACCTCACAAGCACAAGGTCTTGAGTTCGAGGGGGGTATATAACAAACTTCGATTCCCAGCAATCACTGATTCATTATTTCTAATCACAGAAGCAACACACACCCTACATATAACACAGAAATCTCTAAGATGAAGAGGCACTTAAAATCCCACTACCGTACACAGTGCTACAGCTCCTTCCAGGTTTTTTGTTTTTGTTTTTGTTTTAGTACCTGGGAAAGAACTCAGGACCTTGTGCTTGCAAGGCAGGCGTGGAGCCCCAGCCCCTTCCAGGTTTTGTTTATATTTTTGTTTTTCATATAAATTCATAGGTAGAATTTTTGTTTGTTTCATTGTTGTTTTTGTTGAGGTACTGGGGAATAAACCCAGTGCTTTCTCACTGAACTACATCCCTGGCTGTTTTTTATTTCTTATTTATTATTGGTGAGACTGGGCATTCCTGTCACCAAGTTGCCCACTTGTGATCCTCCTGCCTCAACTTCCCAGAGTGCTGGGATCACAGCCCTTCACCACCACTCCCAGATAGGTAAGGGGTTTTTGGCTTGTTTCCTTTTTTGCTGTTGAAAGGAGTTCCTGCTGTACACACTGTTTGGAACTTTATGCAATCTTCAAGCCATTTTCTGTTTTCCCCTCCTATTTCTCATGGACTTCTCCACTTTACCTGAGCTCATGACATATCCATTCTGGTATTTTGAGATCCCTCACGTTCATCATCCTTTGGAGAGAAGAATCATGTTGTGGTGAGAATGTCTGCATGATAAATCATCTACATGGTGGAACCTGCAGGTTAGCACAGTGGTCAGGAATGTGGGATTCATGTTCGAATCCTGAGGAAGCCCTTTAGCTCTTCAGAGAGAGGCAAGTTCTTAACCTTTCTGTGGCTCAACTGCACTGTGTCTCCAGTAAGATGCAGAAATAATAGTTTCTACCTCCTAGTGTCGTGGATAAAGTACTCACACTGTTCTCCCATATCATGAGCTTGCCAAATGGTTGCTATTATTGTTCTTTAAAAGTATGTTAGGCCCAGGCCCAGAGAGTAGCTCAGTGGTAGGATGCTTGCCTAGCATATGGAAGGCCCTAGGTTCAATCCCCACCATGTGCCTAGTATATATGGGGCCTTGGATGTCATCCCCAGCACTGGGGGGGGGGGGGAGTACATGAATATATTCTGTGACAGTCAACAATATATAAATGTAAGAATAAATGCAAGGGGAAAGTGAGTTTCCTCCCCGAGCTCTTCCTTCTCTCTCCTCTTTCCAAAGGGAATAACTTATATTACTTTTCTTTTAAACTTACATTACTTTTTTAAAAAACTAATACATGTTTGCAGTACACACTGATTACACTCACCATGGAGAGTTGGTGCACATTTGTCACATATGTGAATTCTTTTCTTCATCCCCTTTCCCTCCCTTTCTTCCATCTCTTCATCCCTTTCCCTTTTGTGAAATGCCTGTCTCCCTGTTTCCTATTATCTAACAAATAAGTTTAATGAAATCAGTTTGTCTTCTTGGTTAAGGAGCCAGTAGGGCACAGATGCAGAATCCTGAGGGTCTATTTACTAGACCTACTATGGAGGGAAAGGCATTTCATGGGAAACAGGTGCAGAAAAGGAGTTTCGGATTGGGGAAAAGGACCTTTTTAATATTTGAATTTTAAAAGTGTGCAATAAGGGCCGAGGATTTAGCTCAGTGGTTTTGCCACCTGCTGTGCAAGCACAAGGACCCGAGTTCAATCCCCGGTACCAAAAAAAAGAAAGTGTGCGACAAAACTCCTACCTCTGCTAAATGTGGACCTATTTAATAGACGTGCCTTATTTATCCTATCCTGTAATCAGATGCACCCATACTGACATATAACTCCCTCTACTAAATAGCTGTGGGCCAGAAACAATCTTTTGGATAATGTAATGATGTTGTTGGTTTCAACTGTAAAATTTGAGCCCCTTGTTTAACTCAGTATAAAAATGCTCCTCAAAGAGTGTCCAATTCCCTCTTTTCTTTCTGGGTTGTTCCCCCCTCCACTACCACCACCCTTAAGAGACAGGGTTCTTGCTTGCTATACTGTCCAGGCTAACTGTGGTCGCCTGGGCTCAAGTGATTCTTCTGCCTCAGCCTCCCAAGTACCTAGGACTACAGGTCAATGTGCTACTGTGCTCAGCTTTCTTTACAATTTTACTCTTAAAACAGAGTACAGGTAATCTCACTTCAGATACCGCCTCTGCTTAGTTACACTGCTAACAATTTTCTCCAAGTACGTAGCAATGAAAACTCATCAAAAGTAAAGAAACCCATCTCCAAAAGACAGCCACCTCCACAGTAAGTCTGCCTTGAGATTTTCTTTGATTTTGATGATATATAAATAAATTTCCCTGCATCAGATTAAAAAATGAATGGAACAGGGCTGGGGATTTAGCTCAGTGGTTTTGCTGCCTGCTGTACAAGCACAAGGACCCGAGTTCAATCCCCGGTACCAAAAAAAAAAAAAGAATGGAACTAAAAAAGAATCAAAGAAACAGAGCAAAGATTCAGTAGAAACTTAAAGGGAACCCAGACCTGATTGTACACTCTCATAATCATAGCACTCTGGGAGGCTCAGGCAGGAGGATTGCAAGTTTGAGCCAGCCTGGGCAAATTAATGACTTAGAAAGATTGTGTCTCGGGCCGGGGATTTAACTCAGTGGTTCCACTGCCTGCTTCACAAGTGCAAGGTCCCAAGTTCGATCCCCAGTCCAAAAAAAAAAAAAAAAAAGATTGTGTCTCAAAATAAAAAAATGAAAAGGGGCTAAGGATGTGTGTCAGTGTAAAGGTCCTGGCTTCAATCCCCAGTACTGAAAATTTTTTTAAAAGGAGCAAAGGAAGAAAGAAACTTACAGGAGAGATTGATTTTGTTAATTTAAGATGCGATTTTAAGGAAAATAACACTGCATTGCCCTCTGCTACCATAATCAGAAGGAAACAGTGCTATGTTAACCATACTCTTTTCCTCTCATGCTGAGGTGTGATGAAATGACTAGCAAAGTACTTCTCAAATGTAAGGTGTTTCCATGAGACAGCCCTTCTAGCTCCACAACTTCCTTAAATGCCTTTAACTTGCTGTTGCTGTAGTATTACGTTTGACCGGGAACAATCATGTTGTGTGGGAATTACATTTGTAGAATAGATCTTCCTAAAAGCAAACAAATAAAGAACCATTGAAATTCCTTCACACTGCGGCTCTCTCTTTAATTTAGCTCTCCCTTTGTTTTGCTCCCTCTACTTTTCATTCTCTGTGTCTTCCCACTTTTCCCCTTTGCTTTCCACCACTTTATTCTTTTCCTTTTCAAATGAATAGATTGCCATTGACATTATACACACACACACACACACACACACACACACACACACACACACACACGACCTGCACCTCTCCCTCCAATGCATCTGCTACTGATTGTTTTCCTCCCAAGAGGCCAAAGGGTCAGTGAGAGGACCCATGCTTCAGTTTGCACAGGGAGATCTGGCAGCCTGGCTGAAGTTGGTAGAAGTAACTATCATTGCAAAACTGCAGAAAATCATTTGGATCCACATGTGTTGGCCTACATGCTTTTAAAAGGAAATTAACTTCAACATGTAATTCTGATTTCCCAAAGAAAGGGTGCAAAAGTAAGAGCACATACCTACAATTGTTAATCTCATTTACTTTTTGGCAAGTTAGTGTACCAATCTTTTATAAAAATCTAATTTTTATTCACTGTTTTTTGTACTTGTGTTATGGAGGAATTGGATGTTTTAAAGCTACTTAAAAGAAAGTAGCAGCCTGACCTAATTAGTGAAGCTTCTTCAAGTATGTATGTTCTTACATATATATTTTATAATTCTGTAACTACTATATGTCTGAAAAGTAGCCCTGTCTGGGAGTTTAGAGCCAGAAATCCAATATGATGTGTTCATGTGTTCATCTGAAGACAAGAGTATAACTGAAATGTAAAATTTAAATAAACCTTCAAAGGTTGGGCTTGTAGCTCAGTGGTGGAGTGCTTGCCTAGCATGTGTCAGGCTCTGGGTTCAATCCCCAGCACCACAAATAAACAAATAAGCATAAAAAATAATTTTCACTATAAATATCAAGGGAAACATCACAAAGTTTAAAGTACGATAATGATTATTTTATATTTGCAGCTATGGAGATGTAGCTAGCAACTAAAAACAGGAACTCTGAGGTCTTACTGTGTGGTTTCAAATTCTAGCTGTTTTTTTCCTAGCTATGTAACCTTGGGAAAACATTTCCTCTCTATATACCTCAGTCTCCTAATTTTTAAAACAGTTTAAAAATATTTATAAAGATTAAATGAGTTAATTCAAGTAAAGTCCCTACAACAACGTTTGACATACAGTAGGTGATAGAGAGATGATCTTTCACACGAAGGCTGCTTCTAACAAAAACCAGGACTGGCGCACATTTGTTTTATCATTAACTTGCTTTGGTCTTCAGCAAGTCATTTAATGTCAGTTTTCTCTTTGTAAAAAGGACACAGATTGGGCTTAATTTCTAACGTTTCCCAGTAGATACATTTATTTCTATGATCTTTATTGAGCTTCAAAAGCACGTAAAATACTTTAAATACTGTTGTGTGTCATATGGGCTCAACAAACCTAAAAGAGTCACAATAATTGAATAACTGATTACAAACATTTCTAGTTCAGGCACCAAGTTTGAGGAATGCAGAGATGACAATGATAATAATAATAAAATTCACCAGGGCCAGGGATGTAGCTCAGTGGTGCTGCCGCCTGCCTCACAAGCGCAAGGTCCAGAGCTTGATCCCCAATACCAAAAAAAAAGGTAATCGATAATAAAATTCACCTTCCAGCTAGATTAGGAAGCATGATAAGTGATGGAGAACTATATCCAACATTATTATAAAATAGCCCATTTGAGCACTCTCTGTAGAGAGGGGAACGCTGGCAATTACTCTTGACTACTTATCAGGATCAAAGTCAGGCAACGCTAGACAACTGGGAGCATCCTAGGATAAGACTGATTGGGCTGGATTCCTTGGGAAAGAGAAATGTTTCGTAGGGAGTACAATAAGACTCAAAATGGAAAGGATGAAACTCTTGGAAACTGATCAAGAAGACTTTCTATACTCTGCTAAACACATATTCATTAGCGCACTACCTCCCTAATGTTTGACACATGAAACCTTTGGTCTAAAATTTTTCTTTTTTATAAAATGCCACAAAATTTCTGCATACACAGAGTGCTCATTTCATATTTATTGCATGAATTCATGAACCCTCTTAAACTTTCAGTTAAGGGAAGTCAAAGTAGAGCTGAAAATTAGGGCTTCATAGAACTTGGGGATCTGTCAACCTAAAAGTCTGTTTTATTTTTTAAACAAAGAATCTGATAAAATAATTTGACCAAAGCCAAATGACTTAGTGACAGATGCCAGAACTAAAACTTTAAGTTACCTGACCCCTAAGGTCATGTTATTTTTATTGCACCAAACTACCTTCACTTTTGATCATGAACAAAATCATCAAGCCCAAGATTCAAAAATTAAGTTTCTGTTTTCTGTGTAAAGCTACACTCTAGGCCTTTCAAACTCTATAGTTCAACAAAGATTAGAAATTCCATGAATCTGTCTTAAATATGCCCTTAAAGAATTCCAGCAGCTTATTAGCAGTTTTATATCATATATAATTTATCCAATAAATGATAACTGTTGCTTAGGAGTCACTTGGATTTATGATGAAAATTCCTAAGACTGTTTTTGGTAAAATAAGCACATAAGCAAGGTTAAAAGTATAGGTGGTGAGGATAGATCCAAATGTGTCTCACTTATTTTTTTTTTTCCATTTAGTTTATTGGTACATTTTAGGTATACAATACAGTTACATTCCTCATTGGGATCTTGTACCTTTCCATGATGTATCTTGGTTCTTATTTTTTCCCCATTCCCCTGCCCTCCCTTCACCCCTTCCACCCTTCCCTATTTACAAAGACTTTGTTTCCATGTTTTTCTTGTTCTTATAAACTTTACTAAGATCTCTCCTTTTCAAATGAATGATTTTTAAAATCTCATTTGTTCATCATTAGAAAAATATGTAAAGATCACCAATCTCCCTTTTGATGTACCATAGAAACAAAAGGGTTTTTTTGTTTTGTTTTGTTTTGTTTTTGAGACAGGATCTCACTATGAGATTCAAACTGGCCTTGAACTCACTATGCAGCCCAGGATGGCCTCCAACTTGCAGTGATCCTCCTGCCCCAGCCTCATGCAGGCACGTGCTGCCACACTTAGCTAAAAAGTCTTCTTGATGCCATTTGGTCACTTAATGCAGTAGCCTAGATGAGAATCATTACAGTGCAGAGAGGGTAAGAGTGTTCCACAAACATTGCCTACCTCTTTATTTTTGTACATGACATACTGAGAGTCTATTGCACCCATGACCAAGTTAGGTTTTCAGGTTTTCCAGACATAAGAGGGTGAGGAAGATATCCATACTCTCAAAAGTGTGTGCCTTTTTTGGAGCTAGGGATTCTTGTGAAAATATATGCTTTGGCTCATATATTAACTTGATGCAGCATTTATAATCAGTAATATTTTTTTAACCAGCACATGTGCCCAAGAGGATCCTGGAAAAATTTTTGTGTGAATATTGTACTGAATCAATGTTTTACCACACTCAGTATTCTAATTTTATACATTTGACATCTCCAACATGTCTCTTCACCATTTCCTCTAAGCAGGGAGAATGCCAATTTTGTTTACTCAAATTTTCAAAACTAAGTGTCTTATTTACTATGATTCTATCAACTTTTATAAGTTAGGTTGTTAGCTTTCTCCTCAGTGTTGATTTGAGACTCAAGAGTGGGACAGTGGATAATAAAGGCAGATTTAGGAAAACTAATGTAGGGAATGAAAACTTTAAAAATGTTGCATTGGTCTGGACCCAGAACTGGTCAAAATGGAACCAAGGATCAAAAGAAAAATGTATAACAAAACCCAGGTCAATCAATGGACTGGTGTGAAATCCATTAAGAGTCAGAAAGCAGAGAAACCAAAGAATGGGAAGTCAGAAAGATATAAGACAACATGCAAATACCTGAAGTGAAAGGCCAGGTATTGAGATGGGATAATTGACACTACCCACGCAATCAGGAACCAAAGAAGAAACACTCTTGGAAAGATGTGCTCCAAACCACACTCTGTCCCCACATGCATTAGTGTTAAATGTTTCCATGTGTGGGCAGGAGCTAATCCCAACACAGAGACAAGTGAGTTAACCCATCAAGAGTAAATCCAGATAACATTAGTTTACTTTAGCATAGCAGTAAAGTACTTGGAGAGGAATTTCACTAATTCATTTTTTCAACAGTAAGATACTGAAAATATGACATTGAAAAAAACAAATTCCTGCCTTCATGGAGTTTGCATTTTATAGAGCAGGGATGGGAAACCTTTTAAAGCTTGCAGTGATACAAACAGCTCACTGCAGCACACATGCCATAGGTTCACCACCAGTGTTACAGAGGTAGGCAAATCATAAGTTAGAGGACATAGTCAGAGAACACAGATTTTCAGACTCAAAAGGTAACATGGATTTTATCCTTATTTAAGTCAAGTTCCATAAATTGCCATTCTTATATTTGCTTTAATTTCTAAACTTTTTAAATTTTCATTTTTTCCAAGTAAATATTTTTCACATGTCCCTTTTTTATTCTAATATTCACTTCTGGAGCCATAGTATTTGTATGTATGTATATATGTACGTACGTATTTAGTGGTATGATTGACCCCAGGGTCTTCACACTTAACTATATCCCCATCCCTTTATTTTTTATTTTCACACAGGGTCTCTCTAAGTCACTAAGTTGCCCAGGCTGGACTTGAACTTGCTATCGTCAAGGCTCAGCCTCTTAGAGTGCTGACATTACAGGTGTGCACCATCACACCCAGCTGCCCTAGGGTTTTAAATTCTCATCCATGCATTTATTTTTTTTAATATATACATTTATTGGTGCATTTTAGGTATAAAATACATTTACATTTATCACTGGGTGTTTGTACCAGAACATGATGTATCTTAGTTTTTATTTTTTCTCCCATTACCTGTGCCCCATTCACCCCCTCCACCCTTCCCTATTTACACAGGCTTTCTTTTTTTTTTCTTATAATT